CTAAAATTCTGTTCGTTTTGAAAAGCCTTAAGAATTGTATTCTCTGATACGTGTATATTGCATATCATAAGCTACCTACCCTAATGTATTGGCTGTAATAGAGAAGAACAAATTCAAGTGTAACAGTTCCCTCCAATCATAACCATACCTGTGTTCATTATTGCACAATGTGAAATGCCCAAGCATGCATTTGGTTCAGGCCTCAGTGACTATAAGCACTTTCGTGACTTCTACTAGCCATGGATGACAATAAGCACTTTTCAGTGTTTTAATCCAGATACACGCACTACAAAATGGCGACCTAGAGATTAGAAACAAGAACTCCCCAGATCTCAATTCTATGTTAATCAAACTGCCCACTTCTTTCTGGGATTATTTTGCTCCTCTACTGGCCTAAACTTTCCTTAGGGAAGTGGTCAATTATGCATAACTACTTTTGTGAAGTGCAGGAGAGAAAGGAGAGAAGAATGCTGACAAATATTGTTTCTCCATTTAAGAACTATATACAATGGTACTTGCCTATAACTAGATATGAGTGATCTATAAACATACATGATTGAAGATCACATACTCTCAAGGAACTGGAACTAAACAGGTAAACACCTCCAGATTCTTCCAACTGAGATCCTATAATTCTTTGAAGTAACAGAAGCCTGGAGTCTTACACAGAAGTACAAATGGCTCATATTAAAATGAAAAAAAAAAAAAAAGAGGAACAAGAATTCCAGGCAAGAAAATAAAGACAGAAAGTATGGAATTTAACAGAATAGTTCTAAATTTATCTTGAAGAACAAACATGCAAAACATAGCCACGATGTTTTTTTTCAGAGTGCAAAAAATGAAATAATTTGACCAAACAGATATAAAAATGTGTAATAAAGTCACAGTTATTAAGACAGTATAGCACCAATCTCAGATCAGAGAAAACATGGGCATGGAATAAAATATCAAAAGAGACCAAAAAATTATGTGAGAATTTTGTACATTATAAAGTCTTATGTTAAATGAAAATTTTCAGCTTGGAGAAAGAATTACGTTAGATGCCTACCTCTGGCCCGTATAAAGCATATTATCAAAGTAAAAAACTCTTGAGAAAATTATTGGCAGATTTTACTGCATAAAAATTACAAACAATACTTCCAAAAAATTAAGACATACTGCAGACAAAAAAATAATTGAAACATATATATCTGAACAAGTGTTAATATACTGAATATATAACAAGCAGTTTTGAATTGATAAGAAAAAAATGAACAGTATGATTGAAAAATAGGCAAGTATACAAGCAAGCAAATCACACATACAGGAAGCAAATAGACAAAAATGGATTAAATCAAAGACATGAGAAAAAGTCTGACATCATTTATCATTAAAGAGATGAAAACTAACCTATAACCAGTAGGTAGGTTACATTAAGTAGGACTTGAAGAATGCTATCAGAAATCAACTTTAATTTACTACTTCTGAACCAAATCAACTCTGGGAGGCTGCTTGGTTTTATGTGTGTGTGTATGTATGTTTGTTTTTTATTTTGGGGTTTTTGGTTTTGGGTTTGTTTTTGCTTTTTGTTTTTTGGGAGGGGTTTGCATTTTATAATTAACTTTTTAATTTTTTTTAAAAAATTAGAGAGTTATGTTGTTACTTGTAATCATTGAAAACACTCTCATTCCAGTATTTAAAATGTCCAATACTATGTAACAGTCACAACTCTGAATTCCATTTAAAGGTAAAGATGATCTCCTCCTTAAGCTCAGTCCTGCTCCAGATAGAGAAATAGTAGTAGTAAAAAAAAAAAAAAAAAAAAAAAATGGGGGGTAGGGGGTGCCGCTTTTTCCTTACTTTGCACTTTTACCAATCAAGTAAGATCTTTCCTGCCCCTGATCCCTCACCGTTCCTAACCCTCCTGGCATAGCACCTGCTGTGGGCTGAATTCTGTCCCCTCCAAAAAGATATGTTGGAGTCCTAACACCCAGTACCTTGGAAGGAAGGTGACCTTACTTGGAGATAAGGTCTTTACAGAGGTAATCAAAAATTAAAATGAGGTCAGTAGGATAGGCCCTAAACTTTTACCAATCAAGTAAGATCTTTCCTGCCCCTGATCCCTCACCGTTCCTAACCCTCCTGGCATAGCACCTGCTGTGGGCTGAATTCTGTCCCCTCCAAAAAGATATGTTGGAGTCCTAACACCCAGTACCTTGGAAGGAAGGTGACCTTACTTGGAGATAAGGTCTTTACAGAGGTAATCAAAAATTAAAATGAGGTCAGTAGGATAGGCCCTAACCCAATATGACGAGTGTCCTTATAAAAAGAAGAATTTTGCTCACACAGAGATAGACACAGAGAAAGAGAAGATGAAGAGACACAGGGAGAAGACAGCCACCTACAGAGAGGCCTGGAACAGATCCTTCCTCACAACTGTCAGGAGGAACCAACCCTGCAGA